GGACATCATGTTGGGTAGAGTAGAGGGACAGCGCAGGAGGGGAAGACCCTCTATGAGGTGGATTGATTCAGTGACTTGGGTAATCGGGATGGGCATGTCAAAGGCAATGCGATTGGCACAGGATAGAGCAGGGTTTAGGGCTGCTGTACATAGAGTCGCTATGAGTCGCAAACGACTCGGTGGCACATAACAACAACCACCACCTCTGGGATTGCAGTGCAGTGTCTTGCCACTAGGCCGCCAGAGCTCCTTTTTTTACTTTTCAAAGAGAAAAGCAAACTGGGGAGGAGAGGTGGGCAGGGAGGAAAGTGTGCAACAGTGAATGAATGGAAATCCAAAGTCTCTGTAAGCTTTCAATAAAATTTAAAAAATTAAAACCACAAACAAATAAAAAAAACCCCAACTTCTGCTCCACAAAAGACCTTTTCAAGAAGATGAAAACAAAGTGGACTAGAGGAGGGGGAAAGAAGAGGGGAGAAAGAAAATGTACAACAATGAATTAATTTTTTAAAAAAAGATGAGGATGGGCGGGGGGTTGGGGTTAATCATAGGGTCACACAATTTGATGGGTAGAGGGAGGGGCAAGTAAAGGAAAGAGGAAAGATCGAGTGTGAAAAACAACATATATGAACTTTGTAAGTAAATGAGTATAAAATGAAAAATTTATTTTTTTAAAAAATATGAAAAAACAATTTACAGAGTGTGAGAAAATATTTGTATATTATGTATTTGACTAATGTGATGCAGTGAATTACTTAATATGATTCTTCTGAGCTAGCTATTCTAAGCTATCAATTTCATCTTACTTGGTTCCACCAACAACATACCAGCAGTCACAAATCATACTTACTGCTTTTGGAAAATCTGCAGTCAGGGCCCACTCCGAATTATTGAGAAGCAATGATATGTGTTTGAAGACTAAGTTGTGTCCAGTTCAGGCCATGGTCTTTCCAATCACTTGCTATGCATCAGAGAGTTGGACAATGACTAAAGATGACAGAAGAAGAATTGATATCTTTGAGCTGCGGTGTTGGAGAAGAGCATTAAACATCTCATGGTCTGACAAAGGAACAAACAAATATATCCTAGAGAAAGTGCAGCCAGAGTCCTCCTTGAAGTCAAAGATAATAAAGCTTCATCTCACACAACCGGGCATGCTGCTAGGAGAGGCTCTTCCTTGAAGTGAAATATCATGCTTGGAAAGGTGGAGGGTTGGTGAAAGAGAAGACCATCAGCCAGGAGAATTGACACAGTGACCGCTTTAATGGGCTTGAGTGCATCATAGATGACGAGGATGGCACAGGCTAGGCTAAAGTTCAGATCTGTTGTTCATCTGCTATGAGTTGTACTCAACTCAATGACACCTAACAACAACAGGCTATCAATAGGGTGGCTTAATGGCAAGGAATTGTGCTATCAACACAAAGGTAAATACATAGTTTGAGTCCACCAGGTGCTCTGTGGAGAAAGATGGACAATCAACTCCCACATGATGTACTGCCTCTGAAAACTCACTGGAGGCTCAGCTATGGGTCAGGTCTGACTCTACAGCACTCACCAACAACAAACAATCTATGCTCCTTATAACTCCCACTGTAAATCTTCTGTGTAGAACTATGCAAATGTGAGGTGCTTGTGGCCCAGTAAAGGAATTGGCTAGCTTACTAATAATATAAATAGAGTACATGGTGAGATCATGCAAATAAAGTGTATACAACTCTAACATGCGGATTGGTCAGTCTCAGTAAGCTTAAAATAAGCAGTGAGATTCAAGAGACAAGGGGCTGTGACACCAGGCACAGAGAAAGATGGTGAGAAACAGTGGCAGAAAAATGGTAGCAGCAAAAACAGCAGAACCAAGAGACCTGAGACAGAACGGTGGGCTTCCTATGAGTAGGCTGAGTGCCTTCAGGCAAGAGGCTTGCTGGTGGAGTTAGGTGTCTTTGGGTACTTAGATTGACAGAGTGAATAGGGCTTTGTAATGCTTACCTGAGGAGGGGAAAGGCCAAAGGTCCAGAGAAAAGCCTGTGTTCAGGTGCAGCTGAGAAGAGACTGTCCAGATCAAAGAACTATAACCTGATTGTTCCTGAACCTGAATTGTAATCTACTATTTCCCTAGAAAACTCCACAACAATAAGTTCTGTCTGTGAGTTCTGTGTGATTGCTACAACAAAGCATCAAAACCAGCTGAGGAGAGTGCCAAGGGAAGAGTTGTTAGTATCTGAATTGGTAAAAAGATTAAGGGTGGAGGCACATCTGATCTCTGCCTCATAAGAATCAGCCTTGAGCTTATGCTGCTGATGGTGATTCTCTCCCCTTGTGAATTTCTGTGCACATTAAATCGAGTTAACGGCACTGTGTGCCACTTTCTCTAGCACCCTCAACCAGCACTACTGTTAGTATCTAAAATGTTTTTGACAGTTGAAAAATACATCATTTTGTTTTAATTTGCATGTCTCTGCTCTACTGTGAGACTGAAACAATGTATGACTTTGCAAAAATTCTTACATCTTTTGTGTAAATGCTTTTATTCTGTTCCTGTGCCTTCTTCAGAACGGCTCCTCTTTGCAACTTCTGACCTCTGACATGGAAGACATCACTCTCCTCGTTCTCCCAATTTCTGAACTTCAGAGTCAGCTTTTTCTTTCTCTTCTTTGACTCCTAGTTTCCCATCAATCACCAACTACAGTCATTCCTCCTTCTGAAAATATTTTCCTTTTTTAGCCTTTTTCTTTGTTCTGATAGGAATGTCACCATCATTGGGCAAGTGGTGCCTCTCACCTGAGTCACAGCAAAAGCTTCTTTGCAGTTCTCTGCTACTGCTTTTCTCCTACTTTGGTCTCTCTTTAACCAGAGCAGCATTGGCTTATAAAATTTTTATACATTTTTCTCTAACCCATTAGACCAAGCCTAGAAGCCTGTTTGACATTCATACTCTAAACATCACTTCCAACAGATTCTAAGCCAGAAGCATCCACACCCTGGTGGCTTCCTCACAGACTGCAAGCACTGCTTTTCTGAAGCGTTCTCCCTACCTTCCTGGAATGCACTTGCTGCACATTCCTTTCCTCTAGTCTACTTCTTAAGAGTCTACATCTCTTGAGACTCAGTTTAACCCTGGTGTTCCCCATTAAGCCATACAATATTCACCAATACTCTTTAATTGTTCACACCACCTTGCAACAGCCTGGATAAGTGAGCCATGATGGAGTGTATAAGTGAAAAAGAGAAACAAGAAGCGGGGTGATGGCAGGATGTTCACATAAAACTACTCCCTGTGCTGTTAGAAATAGGGCCCCAGAATTTATAAAAAATGTTAGGCTATAAGTAAATATTTGGGAGTCATCTGTAGAACTCTCAGAGGACTACAGTAGAGATTAAAATGTCTCTATGAGTGGAAAAGACTAACAAAAGAGTTTAGAACAATACCTAAATACAGAGGTCAGAACAAAAGTCCAAGATTAATTACTAGAAAGGACATTCAGAAATGCAGTAGAGAATCAAAAGAAATTAAAAAGTAGTGGGAGGGGGCAGGACTAGATCAATCTACTCTTTCAAGAAGTTAAGTAAATTGTGAAATAAACCTAGTTGAATTTCAAGAAAATTAGGGACTAATAGCAGTGTGTAGAACCAGAGGGAAAAGAAAGGAGGACAGGAGTGACTCAAAGGACCGAAGGAATAGGAGATTGCCAGGGTGAAGTATTGTCCAGGGCTGCAGGGCTACCAGACTCTCTGCCAAGGTCTTCAGGGAAGAATGAGGCTGAGCCACGGGGAAGAGAACTAGAGGGTCTGGAAGAAGAGAGAATGCATAGCTGATGTAGTGTCTAGTTTTCTATACCAAGGAAAAGTAGAGAGAGGGCCAAAAACTGCTAAAGGAGGCAGAAGTGGTACCAAGAGGGTTGGGGTAGGGGCATTAGTCTCAACACTCTGTCCAAATAGATAATCTAAGAGACTTTGTGTTTGCTCTGTAAATACATCTTCAAGACTAGTCCCCTAGCTTGCTTTCCAAATCAATTACTCTTTCTAAAAATATTCTTTAGAACGTCTACGGAAATCTGAAGCTGCCACTGTCCCCACAAAAAAGGTGAATAATAGAGAAGGACTTATTGTTGGTAATGGTCTTAGATAAAGAGAAGATAGTGGAGGTCACAAGAGATCTATGCTTGAGGAACTTTCCAGAGTTGGTATTGCAATACAGTGTTCCCAACAGGTCTGAACTTTAATCCTGGCTCCATCGCTTATTAGAGTCAAAATTCAAATGGTGGAAAAGGTCTCCATAACAAAAAGTCTCTAATGTTTGTCCCTTGGTCATTCGTTTCCTTTTCCTCTATAAGGGAAATAATGTTCTTGTTGGGTATATAATCCTGCTGGATAAATAACTTAGAAAGCTGAAGTCTGGAGTTCTCTAATTAGCATGAGCAATTTCCACAGGAAATTACTAACTCAAATCAGAATGTTGTGGATATTGCTCTCACCCTGTCTCTGGTATGCTTCTCAAACTCTTCCACCTGGCTTTTACTTCCAGCTCAAACTAGGATGAAACTTCGTGTTGAATGCAGAAAAAGTTCATGGGACCAAGGATTCTTACCTCTGATCATCAAGAATCTTGAAATGAGTGACTCAGGAAATTACATCTGTGATGTACAGAACAAGAAAGAGGTTCAGTTGCTGGTATTTCGATGTGAGTGGGGAGGCCTGGGGTAAGGATATCCCTGCCATGTCTCCCTTCCTCCTCTATGCCCATCTTCACTCCAGAATCAGTGCCTGTGCTGATTTCTTAAATGGTTCAGAAATGAAACAGACTGGCAATTCATGTCTCCTCAAGGCCTTGAGTCAGGCAGGGGGAAGGGGGGTAAACCTAAAGAGCAGGAAAGAGAAGAGCAGGAAAAAGAAGGGCAGGAACCAGGGGAAGGGAGGAGAGAGAGAATGAGAAAGGGAAGACAGGATGTGAAGGAAGACAAGGAAAGGGCTGAGTTGGGTGGGGGTCTTCATCTGAGTCTGGGGAGGAAAAGAGATGTTGAGACAAGGATAGAGATACTCTTAGTTCCTTCATCATCTTTGTGTGTGTGTGTGTGTGGGGGGGTGACAGTTGTCCTGCTCTATCCACAGTGACTGTCAAACCTGGAGACCGCCTACGGAAGGGGGAGAATCTGACCCTGGCATTGGATGGCCCTTCTGATAGAGGACTTGTAGTGAAATGGAAGGATCCATTTGGTAAAATAAAGGGTACAGGGAAGACCTTCTATCTGCCCCAAGTGGGGTTCCAGGAAAGTGGCACCTGGATATGTGACATCACCCTGAACCAGAAGTCTCTGGAGCTCCACATAAGCATCATGGTGCTGGGTAAGAAGAATGCCTCTCCCTTGTAATAATACCTCCTGCCTCCCTCAGGGGCTGGCAGCCCTCTCTGTGCTACTCCTAGGCGTGGTGCTGGGGAAGACTCCCTAGAGCTGAGGTTTGTCCTGAGGGCCATGCTAGACCCTCTCTTCCTCAAGGTGCTAACTAGAAGCTAAGTATAGAAGAGAATATAAAATTGAGGGTCCCCAGAGGCCCCTAGAGGAGGCCCAAAGTGAGCGGTGCCAGTTTCTTCATTGTCTGAGCACCTCAATCTTCCCAATTTAACGCATCAACTTACTCAGTAACACTAAGACCAGAAAGCAAGTCCTGATGAAATTCTTTTTTTTTTTTTTATGGAAAAGTAAAAGAAAAGATTTTTTCATTGTTTTACAAACCCTCCCCCAGGTCCCCTCCACCATGCAGCCCTCGCTTTAGTCTCCTGTGATGACAGAAATACCCAGTTACATCTCTCTTTTAGACGGTTCTCTCCCTCCTCTGCTTCAGTGCAGTATACATTATTGAACCCATCTTACTCAGTGTCTCCCTAACCCCAAGGACAGTCCCATTCTACAACAGTGGCATCATGTAATATTTGTCCTTTTGTGACTGGGATATTTCACTCAGCATAATGTTCTCCAGAGTCAACCATTTTGAATAATATTGCATGAGTTCCTTGTTTTTTAATGCAGCATAGTATTCCATTGTGCGAATATACCACAGCTTCTCTAGCCATTCGTTTGTTGATGGGCACTTAGGTTGTTTCCAACTCCTTGCTATTGTGAACAAAGCTGCAATGAACATGGGTGTGCATATATCTGCTTGGATGTCAGCTATGGTGAAATTCTACATTGTACTTGTAGAGCCATGAGCTTGGCACTGAGGGAAAGACTAAAAGTCAAGAATGACAGTGCCTTAGGCAGGGTTCTCCAGAGGTGCAACAGATAAAAAGACTATAAAGAGGGAGAGTTGTTTTGTTTGTTTATTTTCAAGAAAACAACTCAGAGGCTGGCAAGAACCAAGTCTGTATGTCAGGCCTCAAGAGAGAGGTATCTGGGGAGAATAATGTGTCCAAGTCATCAGCAGGCAGGCCTGGTCTTAGCCTATTGGCATTGGAAGCTGTCACCTTCAGAAGCTAATGAACTCAAAAGTCACTGTTGGGCTGCTGAGTGAGTTCAAACCATCAGCCCTTTGGGTAACAGCTGAGTGCTTCACCACTGTGTCACCAGTGCTTCTAATAAATTTGTTGTTGCTGTTGTATACTGTTGAGGTGGCACTGGCCCATGGCTGACACCCCCAGTGGGTTTTCAGAAGCAGGTAAATGAGCCAGCAGGAGATTGTTCATCTTTCTCCCTTGGATCAGCTGGTGGATTCGAACTATGTACTTTTGCGTTGGCAATACAACTCCTTACCACTAAGCCACCAGAGCTCCCAAATGCTTTCTATACTTGAGGAATCCTGAGGAAGAGAGGCCCTGATGTGACTGGGCTGCTCTGTGACACTTTTTAAAGGAGGGAGGCTGCCTTGAGACCATGCCGGCATGGGGAGATGGGAGAGAAGATTGAAGAGGTAAAAGGGAATTTAAGAAGCTGAAATGCCAACCATCTCTGCCACCCCTCCCCACATGCCTCTCTACCCTGTTTATTCTAATCTTCCTGCCCACCTCTGACCCATGTTGCTCTCTCTCCCCTTCAGATTTCAAGGAGGACTCAATCACAGTCTATAAGAAAAATGATGACCCGGTGGAATTCACCTCCGCACTGACCTTCGATGATGAAGATCTGGGTGGAGAGCTGAAATGGCAGGCAGAGGGGGCTTCGTCCCCCAAGTCCTGGATCACCTTCTCCTACTCCTCGAAGGACAGGAAGGTGTCTACATTATCGGTGATAGATAAAAAAAAGTTCCAGATGAGTGAGACGTTGCCACTCCGCGTGACTCTGCCCCACGCCTTGCCTGAATATGCTGGTTCTGGAGTATTGACCCTAAATCTTAAAAATGGAAATATACACCAGAAGGTGAACCTTGTGGTGATGAAAGGTATGGAGCTGGGCTTAGATGAGGTGAGGGTGGGGGGCAAGCAAAGGAGGTGAAGGGCCTAGACCAGAGGTCCTTCTGAGACAGGGTAGACTCTAAAATGCAGGCCCCAGGAACCCTGCTGGCAGTCTATATTTAGTTGAGCTGCTTACCAAAAGGCTGACTGCCTTTGTTGGCTGTAGTCCACCAGTACCTCCTCAGGAGAACAATGAGGAGCTGTCATCTGTTAAGATTTACAGCCTCAGGGAGCTCTGGTGGCCTAGTGGCAAAAAGTTGCACTGCAATTCCAGAGGTATGCGGTTCAAATCCACCAGATGCTCTGCTGAAGGAGGAGGAGCAATCTCTTCCTGTACCAGTCAGATCTAATTTGACAGTACACACACACAAAATAATAAAATAAAATTTAAAAAAAAAATTTACAGCCTCAGAAACCAGACAAAGAGTCACCAATATATGAGGCAGAATCATCTCAACAACATTGAGTTTGAGTTTCTGGAGCAAGGTTCTGGTTAGGCATCCTTGGGCAGTCAAATGACTATCACATCAAATGTTAAGCAAAAGATTGGTCATTTAAATCCACTCAGAATTACCTAGAAGAAAGACCTGAAAAATCAGCCACTGAGAACCTTATGGAGGATAATCCTTCTCTAACACACTGACTTGGCAAGAGGTGGGATCACCTTGATTAGCAACTAGTTTTAGGGCCTGATCAAGCTGATCGACAACCCTCTAGGTAATGGGCTGATTTTTCTTTAAACGTCCTTCCCCAACAACACATTGAGTCAGCCTGGGGCTGCTTCCACAAAGGTCTTCAAAGGGCATAGGCTGAGAACCAACATCCCAGCTAGTCCACTAGGGCCATGCTTTCTCATCTGCTAAATGAAGATAACAAAATCTGCTCTTACTAAGGTTGTACTGATGATTAACAACACATATGTCAGGCTCTTGCTCATATGTTTCATGAAATTCTTCTGTGTCTTCCAATTTCTTTCGATACAGTGACTCAGTATATTCTTTCCATCTTCTTTTAATACTTCCTGGATCATTTAACATTCTGCCGAAAGCATCCTGATTATAGCAACTCGAGGTTTGAATTTGTTCTTCAGTTCCTTGAGCTTAAGATATGCTGAGCGAGTTCGGCCCTTTTGATTTTCTGACTCCAACTCCTTGCACATTTCATTGTAATATTTTGCTTTGTCATCCCGTGCTGCCTTTTGAAATCTTTTATTCAACTCTTTAGTATCTTGAATTCTTCCCTGTGCTTTGGCTTCTCTGCGCTCCAGTGCAATTTTCAGTCTCTTCTGACATCCATTTTGGTCTTTTCTTCCTTTTCTGTCTTTGCAATGACCGTTTGCACTCTTCCTGGATGATACCCTTGATATCCTCCCACAACTCATCTGGCCTTCGCTAATTAGTGTTCAAAGCCTCAAACCTGTTCCTGAGATGGTTCTGAAATTCAGGTGGGATAGACTCAGTCATATTTTGGTTGCCTTGGATTTGGTTTAATTTTCCTCAGCTTTAGCTTGAATTTGCATATGAGTAGTTGGTGGTCTGTTCTACAATCAGCTCCTGGCCTAGTTTTCACAGCTGATATTGAGCTTCTCCAGCGGTTCTTTCCACATATGTAATCAATCTGATTCCTATGCATACCATCAGGTGAAATCCAGGTACATAACCTGCGTTTATGTCTCTTAAAAAATGTATTTGCTATGACTAAGTCATTGTGCAAAATTTGATCATTCTCTCTCCAGCTCCATTTCTGTCACTGAGTCCATTGATTCAGTGACTGGGATAATTGGGATGGGAGTGTCAGAGACAGTGCGATTGGCACAGGACAGAGCGGAGTTTAGGGCTGTTGTACATGGGGTCGCTATGAGTCGCAGGCGACTCAACGGCACATAACAACAACAACAACAACAATGTCAGGCTCTCAGGTTAGTTCTTCATGTCCAGAGCTCCTTAATTACCTTAACAACTCTATAGATAACAGCAGATAACACTTGAGGCTTAGTACTAAAACATAGATTCATTCATTTCATTAGAATCTGAGGCTCAGAAAGTTAAGTAACTTACCCGGGGACAGCCACTGGACTCCAAAAACTGTAGCTTCCCTATTTCAAATGCATGGACATTTTCTCTGAGTGGCTAAGAAGGGTACCCATGAAAAACATGTATTATTCTATCAAATATACTTAAAGCACCTAGCCCCAGGCTTTTATTCCTTTGCAGTGACTCAATCTGAGAGCCATTTGATCTGTGAAGTGCTGGGACCCACCTCCAACATGATGACCCTGAGCTTGCAGCAGAACCAGAAAGTAAAGGTCTCAGAGCAACAGAAGGTGGTGCAGATGCCCAAACCTGAGAATGGGACGTGGTTGTGTCAGCTGAGTAAAGGAAAAGATGTCCTGCTGGAATCCAAGGTCGAGAGTAAGTTCCCATGTCCCAGTTATGGCACTTTCTTGGGCTTGACCAAGGCCTCCTCCCCCAATTCTTCTCAGATGAGTTATAGCTAAATGGCTTGAGGTATAGAATTTCCAATTCCCTGTAGTCTAGATCCCAGAAATGGAGTTCATTTAACCAAGAGCTACCATCCCTGATTGTGCTAGACACATACACAGAGAGAGAGAGGCCTGAACCAGAACTATACAGAACACCCTGTAATAATTAAAACACAAGCTCCTTCCCTGGTTCTGTCCCTCTACGCCCAGGTAGGCTCTGTAAAACCCAAGAAGCCCTGTCCTTCTCTCTCAACTCAGGCCAAACCTCAGTCTGGTTGTGCAGCCAGCCTGCCTCAGCCTCTGTGGAGTGTCCTGTGCCTTGATATTGCCCTCTTTTTCTTGCAGTTACAGTCAATGATGCTTCCTTTAGCCTGAGAGATAAAATCCTGGCTGCGGGAGTGAGTGGTGGCCTGCTTATCATTGTGGTCCTCCTCTCCTGTTGCTTTGTCAAGTGCAGGCACCGACGGGTGAGTGAGCCTTCCTAGACCCTCCAACAAGGGCAGCTGTACCCCGATCCTTCACAGGACTCTTGAGAACCTGAGGCTTGAACAGCAACAAGCGAATCCTGTGTATATGATTTGGTTCTAGTCTAGCTCTCTCTACCCAGGGTTTCCTTACAGGGCCAATCCCAGATGCCATGTAGAGGGAGAAACAGGAAGGAGCAGGGCGCTAATTCTGGTACAGATGGCCACAGCTCTAGTAATTGCTTCTCCTCTCCCAGCTTCCCCCTCTCCCCCCTCCAAGGGGCACCTCCCTCCTGGAGGCCTGGGAGCCTCACGACTCCCCTCCTTCTTCCTGGACAGCGCAAAGCAGAGCGGATGTCTCAGATCAAGAAGCTCCTCAGTGAGAAGAAGACTTGCCAGTGTCCTCAGTAAGAAACCGGGAGGACAGGAGGGAGAAGGAAGGGAAGGGATGAGGAGAGGGAAGAGAGAGGACAGATGGGAACAGGAGGGAAGAGAAGGTGAAGAGGGAAGAGCAGAGAGAGAAGGGAAGAATGAGGAGGGAGGAAAGGTGAAGGATAACTGGAGCAGTGTCGGGGAGTAGAGGGGCAGCAGGCCGAGGATGCTTCTGGATGTCACTAGAGCTATGGCCCCGAGTCAAAAGAGAAGAACAGGTCTCATAGGCAAAAGAATTAGGAAGAAATAAACTTGTTCTCCTTATTCTTGTTCCTGCAGCCGGCTCCAGAAGACATGTAGCCTCAGTTAAGGTTCTAGGCTAGGAGGAGCATCCTCTGTGGTTCCTGTCATACTCTAGGAGGGCTGTGAACCAATGAATGTAATGCTTCCTGGTGCCTTTGATCATCTCCTGGTCTCTTCATCTACACTTTCCCTCTTCTGTGTCCCCACTTTCCTTCCCAACCCAGTTGGTTGGATCTCGTTCCTAACCTAGCCCTTCCTGGACTACTTCTTCTTGAACCTCTCCTCCAGTGCCCATGTGGATCCCAGGGAAGTGCACAGGACCAGTTCTGCCTGGTATGGAAGATGAGGCTGATTGTCTGGAAACAGGAAGTATAGGATTGTCCTTTTACAGAAAAGGACCCTGAGAACAGCAGAGGTAGGAGGGATTCACCCCAAGATCACAAAGCCAATCAAGACAGATTCTGATCCAAAGGCTCCTGACTGCCAGCCTTCACTTGTTAGTAGTGCCATGGGTTTATGTCCATATCTGTGCATAAACAGGCACCTCTGGACACACACCCTGCATATATAACCATATACCTGTACATAATTTCTCATTACCTAGGTAGTATGTCTCAGTTTATAAACCCACTCCACATCTACACATTTATTTTCTATTTGAATCTTATGAAAATCCCACAGTTCTGACAATGTCAGACCATCTCCAGTTTAGATCAGAAGTAGAACTCAGAGAGGTTAGCTCATTGCTCAAGATCACACAGGAAGTGCTGGGGTTGGGATTAAGCCAGGTTTGTGGACCCTTAGGGCAGCCCACACTGTTTCTTGCACACATGAGCAAATACCACACAGCTGGCTAGTCATATGTACCCAGCATGCACGTTTGGACCACAGGCACTTACCATCCAAGGTGAGTGGATGGGGAATGCCTTTCCCCTCTTTTTCATTCCTTCAGCTTGCCAAGGAGGGCCTACTTCAGAATTATGGAGTATGGAGGGAACACAGATCCTCACCTCCACCTAAAATCCCTCCTTTATCACCTGCTAGTTGCAAAATCAATAGGGTCACTATGAGTTGACTCGAAGGCACCTAACAATAACAAGTGGCAGAATCATGTTACCAGAGGGAAAAGGCTTCATTTCTTCTAAAGCATTCTGTTGTTAACTGAGATACCAGAGATTTAAAGCCATCATCTGTTTCACAGAAGAAAGAAGTAACAGTCTACTTTCATAAATATTTATAGACTTGGAAATCCTATGTGGCATTTCTACCCATAGCAAGGTGTTCTAATCAGAGCATAGATTGAGAGTACAGGCCCTGTAAGTGACAGTCCACTGACTCTCTTTATTTCTTTATACAACCTCTGGAAAGTTAATTTTGTTAGGGGGAGGGGCAGAGAGCTAGCCTAAAAGTGAAGATATTGAGGGAAACCCCTATGAAGGGTATTAAGTCTGACCATCAGTCTTCCTGCCCTGTCTGCACCCTCCTCCATGCCTCCCTCTAGCTATTCAGGATGGAAAGGTTTTTCCTCTTCTGAATCTATTTCTCTCAGGACCCACAGCCACCTCTGTCTATTCCTCTTCTTCACTACCTTCCAGCATCTTTCCGTCTTCCTCATTCCTTCGGCTTGCCTCTTCCAGGAAAAACATCCAATTGCTGCCAAGCTCCCCACTGCCTACCCACCCCTACCCATGCTTCCCCTGAGCCAGCAAAAAATCAATAAACTTAACCATAAAGAAAATATTCCCCGTACTAATTCTGTTTAACGTGTGTATATAAATGACAGAGTAAGAGGGAACAAAAGTGCACCTGTAGATAAACAGAAATTATGGTATTGAATCCAATGGACTCTCCTCTAGGCATCAGCAATCATCTGATCTTTGAAAGTTTAACCAAAATCTGCCCCAGGAAGGAGATGAAGATGCTCAGGGGAAGAAAAATTCCCTGGAGGCTCGTTATCAAACTACTCACTCTAACTGGCTATGTGTATGTGTAAGGTTAAGACTTTGTAATAACTTGTGTGGTGATTTATCAGGAGGCAGAAGGTAAGGGAACTACATTGCCTATACATGATATGAAGAGAAAGGGCTTTGAAAAATTTGGCATGAGAATGCAAACTATGCATCGCCAGCCTGGGTCTGTGTTGCAGGAGGAGGAGGAAGCTCTGTGTGTGTGTTTTGCAGGAGGAGGAAACTCTGTGTGTGTGTGTGTGTGTGTGTGTGTGTGTGTGTGTGTGTGTGTGTGCGCGCGCGCGCGCGCCCACATCCTTTAGACCGCGCATACACACTCCCACTCCACAAGCAACCCCAGCAGATCACAGCAGCCCCTCACTCCAAACACGCCTCCAGCACATGCCCTTCCGAGCTCTACCAGAGACACAGCCCTCACACAGATACACACAGTGACACACGATGACACACGCTTCCTCCTCCCTGAACAGCTAGCTCCTCAGTCCTGAACAACACCAGCTGCTGCTTCTTCGAGCTTGTGTTCGTGTGGAAAAACGGTATGGGGTGGGGGCAGGACACGACTATCTCACCAATGAAGTCCGTCCCCCGCCATCCTTGGCGCCTTCTTTGCCCCTCCTCCTCCGAGTCGCCACCGTCCAGTTCCCCGCCCTGCACTCCACCCCCCAACCCCGAAAAGCTCTCCTTCTGTGCCACCACCGAACCCAGGCTGCCAAGGCCTTGACCCCCGGAGAGAGGAGTCAGAAGAGACCTAGAGGCGCAGAGACGGAGTGGGAGGGGGCCGAGCCCGAGAGGCTGGGGCTGAAGGGGGAGGAGGGAGGCCCAGAGGGAGGGCGGGGAGGAGGGGAGGAGGGGAGGAGGGAGGACGGCGCTGGAGCCTGCAGGCGGCGGGAGCCCGAGCGAGCCGCCTCGGGAGTGCGGTCTCCATGGCAGTGCTGGGCGCAGCCAGAGGTAAGACGACCCCGGCCCGGGTCCTGCACCCCCTCTCCCCACCACCACCTGCCTCCTCTCAGGACACCCCCTCCTCCCTGCCACCTGCTGTTTCTGGCCTGGAGAACGCAGTGGGAGGCAGGAGGGAGGAGCTACCTGACCTTACCCCTTCACCCCGAAGGGCGAGAGACCTTTACTGGCCTTGGAGACCCCCAGGTTCTCCCTCCCACCTTCCTCTGATCCCTGTCTGTCCTTCACCTCCTTCTATCTGCCCTTCACGTCCTGCCGGCCTCCCCCCTCCCTCTAGAACTCCTCATCTCTCTCTTGCTGAGCCCCCCTCCTCGTCCTGAGTGGGGGTGGACGGGAAGGGGTCCAAAGCCGTAGGAGAGGGTAGTGGGGGGACGTTCCTGACCAATTTCATCCACCTCCCTCTGGCTGACCATTGCCATGGCAACTAGGGTTTACTGGGCTCTGGAGGATAGACAAAGGTGGGGGGTGGACTAGGACCTTTGGAGAAGTCAGAGATCTGAGGTTCTTTGACAAGAAATAGACCCTCCCACTTGTGGACCTCATTTTTACCATCACTTACCCTAAAGTCTTTATGCCCATCCCCGAAGAGCACACTCTGTTTTGTTTATCAGTAGCCCCCTCCTCAGGGCTTACCAAAACTCAACATCACTACAACAGGACTGCCTTGCATGTCATCATAGGAAACTGAGGCTCTAGACCAGGGGAGGAGAAATCAAGGTCTACCAGTGGGGGTCACAACCCTACTGAACATCTGGCTTTTCTTGTTAGCCTCTCCTCCCCTGCTCCCTACCTCTGTCCAACCCCTCCCCCTTCCAAAGCCTTCTCTTCTGAGGTCTCTGGGCTTTCTGTTTTCAGATACTACCACTTTGCCCCTTTTTCCTCCTTCTGCTCAAACTCTCCTTCTTTCCTCTAATCCCCCTCTTTCCATTTCTGGATGTTTCTGATGTCAGCGGTTTCCCCGCCTTTGGGTTTCCTAGCGCCCCCACCCCCCCATCTTCAGACCCAGCCTTCTGTCTCCCATCTTATCAGACCAATGGGTAGGTAGAAGTGACTGTCCCAGACTTTGGGAAATGAGGCTGGCCACCAAGACCACTGGCCACAGGAAACTTGAAGGTTTGGGGCGGGCAGTTCCCCTCAAGGGGAAACAAGTCGTGTGTGAAGGGAGGCTTTATAGAGACATGAAGGTAGGGATTTCTGAGTAGTACTTAGCAAGAGATCTTAGAAGAAGAAACCTAGGAATGCCAAAGGGAGAGAGATGGAAAAGGATGGGAGAAAAGGAGTCAAAGATCTAGTTTCCTGGAGGTCTGGAAGGGCAGGGGCTCTTACCTCAATGGTGTGCTGAGTGGTCATAGGGTTTAGAGACGGGATGTTCTGAATGACGCCGTGAGACTCTAGCTAGTAATCTGTCATTTCTATAGCTAAGAGAAGCCTGCTAGAGACTAGCCTAAATCCTACCTTTGCCCTCCTGCTCCTACATTTCATCTCTCCCTTGCAGCTTGTCCAGGAGGCTGAGCCCCACCCTCAGAATCTGTTGGGACATCTTCGAAGATCCTTAATTGGTCAAGAATCAGAGGAAGAAGAGACTTGGATGTTCGGGGATGTCCTATCCCCCTTGGTTCTCTTGTAGTTGAGAAACAGCCCCCCCAAGTCAACCACAGGAATACTTTAAAAGGGGCCCCACCCAAAATGGAGGCTGAGGACTGCCTCTGCTGACCCTCAGCTTCTTCCCTGCCCTCCACACCTGGCCTCCGCTGGGTCAGTCTGCCATGCTAAGCAGTCGGGTGGGCCTGGAGGCAGCCTGCCTCACCACAGGGCAAGGATGGTGGGCACCATGGGGGTGTGTGTGAGTGAGGCTCCTGGGTGAGACGAGCCCCCACCCCCAGGAGTCCAAGGGGGTAGGGGGGCCTAGGATAGGATGGCTCGGGGTGGGGCAGGGGCAGAGGAGGCCTCGCTGCGCTCCAATGCTTTGTCCTGGCTAGCCTGTGGGTTGCTAGCACTGCTGGCCAATGCCTGGATCATCCTCAGTATCTCGGCCAAGCAGCAGAAGCACAAGCCACTAGAGTTGCTGCTCTGTTTCCTAGCGGGCACCCACATACTTATGGCAGCTGTACCCCTCACCACCTTTGCTGTGGTGCAGCTACGGCGTCAGGCTTCCTCCGACTATGACTGGAACGAGAGCATCTGCAAGGTCTTTGTGTCCACCTACTACACACTGGCCCTAGCCACCTGCTTCACTGTCGCCTCACTGTCCTACCATCGCATGTGGATGGTGCGCTGGCCTGTGAACTACCGCCTTAGCAACGCCAAGAAGCAGGCACTACATGCAGTGATGGGCATCTGGATGGTCAGCTTCATCCTCTCCACCCTGCCCTCCATCGGCTGGCACAACAATGGCGAGCGCTATTATGCGCGTGGCTGCCAGTTCATAGTTTCCAAGATTGGCCTTGGCTTTGGTGTCTGCTTCAGCCTCTTACTACTTGGGGGCATTGTCATGGGGCTGGTCTGTGTGGCCATCACCTTCTACCAGACACTGTGGGCCCGGCCTCGGAGAGCTCGGCAGGCCCGGAGAGCAGGGGGTGGCGGTGGAGCCAAAGGGGGTGGGCCAGGGGGCTTGGGTACCCGACCAGCCTTTGAAGTACCTGCCATTGTGGTGGAAGATGCCCGAGGGAAACGTCGATCTTCGCTGGACGGCTCTGAGTCTGCCAAGACATCCCTGCAGGTCACCAACTTAGTCAGCGCCATCGTCTTTCTCTATGACTCACTCACAGGGGTACCCATCCTGGTGAGATTGGGGTTCCTGCACCCCTCCTCTCCCCAATATCCAGGCCCCAGTATCGTCACCTGACCTCCAATTCCTTCATCCATCTTCATCTCTCTCCATCTCCTATTCCATTTCTGAGTTTCATCTCTATCATCTGTCTTCTAGGGTTTGTTGTGTTTTTTTTTGTCTTCTAGGTTTTATACCTCTGTTGTCCAGTTCCATCATGTTTTCCTGTTTCTGCTACTCAGCTCTGTCATCTACCCTTCAGCTCCACATGGTGTCCTCTAGCTCCATCTTCCATCCTGCAGTTCCATTATTCTGCAGTTCCATTTTTCAGTCCCCTGAGACCTATCATTCAGCTGCCAAGCTCCTTTAGCTACTCCTGACTTTACAATCTCTGAGCACTATTAGTTAGAAACTCAACAGACTCAACTTTTTTCATCACCACCTAGTGCCCCCCTTATTCCTGAATCTGTTTTTCATTTTCTGACACCACATTGACCCTTTTCCCTTCTAAATCCAGGGATTTGCCTCTAGCACTCTCCCTTGACCGTCATCTGAATCAAAACTTCCCTCCATTCACTGGTCCCTACCTCCAGTTTTGCCTCCTGTCTGATCCAAGGCATCCCTTCCTGAGTTATGGCCCACCAACAAAGCTGCCAGGGTGAGATGGCTTCTAAGAGCCTTTTCTGGGAAGCTCTGGCCCCTGAGACATCCTTCCTTCTCCCACTAGGTGGTGAGCTTCTTCTCCCTTAAATCGGATTCGGCTCCCCCCTGGATGGTGTTGGCTGTGCTGTGGTGCTCCATGGCACAGACGCTGCTGCTGCCCTCCTTCATCTGGTCCTGCGAGCGCTACCGCGCCGACGTGCGCACCGTGTGGGAGCAGTGCGTGGCTATCATGTCTGAGGAGGATGGCGATGACGGTCAGAGGAGGGACTGGGCTTTTGATTTCCCCAGGCATTGACAGACCTTTCTCGGACTGCTGGGATGGGCTGTCTGGAGTGCCCCCTGCTGGGCAGAGCCTGCACTGCCCCTAGGCGGATTAAACAATTATTCCCCACCTTTTCCATCCCTGCATGCTTCTGTTTGCATCATAGTCTCTCTTAACTGGGCCTTGACTTCCCTGTAAAAGCCCACACTACCATAGCTATCCTTGGCACCACAGAGTGCCTGACAAACAGCCCTGGCACAAGCATAAAGGAAGGCTGTGACACCAAGGGGAGGCTAACCTTCATGAAAGCCCCCTCCTTCCTCTCCCATGCCTCGGGGCACCGGAGGGTGAGAGGTGATAGTTGTTTCCACAAATGCCTACGTGTGCATGTGCGAAGCACCAGGAATTCAACTTTGAATGCAATAGATGCTAGCCACTCTCATGGTCCAAATGGAGCTTTCAGACTAACAAAACCTGTCTCCCACAGCTTATAAAGGGGAAGGGAGTTGGCTATTTCCTGCTTGCAACCACCACACCCTGCTCCTCCTCTCTCCTAGATGGAGGCTGTGATGACTATGTGGATGGTCGAGTGTGCAAAGTTCGCTTTGATGCTAATGGTGCCACAGGACCAGGCTGCCGGGACCCCACACAGGTGAAGCTGCTGCCCGGAAGACATATGCTCTTTCCCCCTCTTGAGAGGGTCCACTACTTACAGGTATGGACTGAAGGATAGACCTCTTACCCTAGCAGCTCTTCACCATTTTGCTACAGGCTCTGTTATCCATCCTCAGGGCATTAAAGGGGTGGGTGAAAGAAGTGCAGAGAAAGATAGGCTCCCTTAAGAGCCCTCAGAACCAGGTTTGCCAGATGTAGAAGAAAGTTCACAAAATTCAAAGGAGTGCAGCCACCTTGCAGAGCCCCCACTTTGGAATTGCCACCCCATACACTTTGTGCCTACCTAGATCTTACCTGCATCTCTTCCCAGGTCCCTCTGTCCCGCCGTCTGTCCCATGATGAGACCAACATCTTCTCTACCCCACGGGTACCAGGCTCCTTCCTGCATAAGTGGTCATCCTCTGATGACATCCGGGTTCTCCCAGCCCAGAGCCGGGCCCTGGGGGGCCCTGCAGACTACCTAGGACATCGACGAAGGCTGGAGGATGAGGAGGATGAAGAGGAGGTTGAAGGTGGAGGACTGGCCAGTCTCCGCCAGTTCCTGGAAAGTGGGATTCTAGGAGGAGGTGGGGGACCTCCTCGGGGTCCTGGCTTCTTCCGGGAGGAGATTACCACCTTCATTGATGAGACACCTCTGCCTTCTCCAACTGCCTCACCAGGGGCCTCTCCTCGCCGGCCCAGGCCACTGGGCCTTTCACCTCGCAGACTCTCCCTTGGGTCACCTGACAATGGAGCCATTGGACTTCCTTTGGGACTAAGTGCAGGGAGACGCTGCTCCCTGACAGGTGGTGAAGGGAATGCAAGAGCTTGGGGAGGATCCTGGGGCCCAGGAAACCCTATCTTTCCCCAGATGACCCTGTGAGCACAAGCAAGCCCACTGAACTCAGAGGGGACTGGGTAGGTAACATCTCATTCTGGCCCTAAATCTAGGGCAGTAGCCTCCAAACTGTTGAGTGGTAGGCACTGGATCTGGAGCCCTGGGGCCCCTGCTGTCTCCCACACAAATGGCCAGATATCCTACTTTATGCCCCTTCGATCATCTTTAGCAAAATGTATTAAAGTCTTAAGTGTTTCCATGGAAATCTCTGTGTCCAGTGTACTGTGCTATGGAGAGGAGAGGTGTGGGATGCATGGGGAGGTAAAGTAGCTCATAGAGGACAAAACAGGTCAAGAGCAGTGGACAAAAGCTATAATACAGTTGCATTACTTAATAAGGCCCTTCTACCTATGATCTTTCTGTGACAGTGATGTGCCAATCGTGGTAATGGGTACCCATGGTGGACAGTGTTGGCTGGAGCTTCCCGACTAAAACAAGCCTGGAAGCAGGAGCGGCATCCACTTCCAAAAGGGCTTGCCTCCGGAAACTCTATGTACGAACAGTGCTCAGGCCGTTCGTTCATAGGGTCGCTATGAGTCGTCTACGACTCGACGGCATAAAACAACAACAACAACAACCTATGATCTTTGCAACTCACAAACTGATGGTATGGGACCATGCAAATAAAGGGCTTGTGGCCCACCAAAGAAATTGGACAACTTGCTGCTAATACAAAAAAGGTACATAGATCCATTGAGGAGGGGGGACCATGCAAATAAGGAATATGGGACCCTATGAGGGGATTGTCCAAGAAGAGATAAGAGTAGAGTGCGTTCTTTGCATACTAGACCCAGGAGCCAGAAACAGAACACAAGATAGCAAGAAGTGGTTGCAGCAAACAACAAATGTTGGTGAGGGTGTGGAGAGATTGGAACTCTTATCAACTGCTGGTAGGAATGCAAAACTGTACAGCCACTGTGGAAAGCAGTCTGGCAGTTTCTCAAAAAGTTGAAAATAGAAATACCGATTGAGCCAGCAATTTCACTACTGAGAATACACCCTAAAGAAACCAGAGCCATGACTCAAACAGATGTATACACACACGTTTATTGCTGCGTTATTCACAATAGCAAAGAGATGGAAGCAATCCAAGTGGTCATCAACAAACAAATGGACAGAAAAACTATGGTACATTCACACAATGGAATAATAGGCAGCATTGAAAAACAATGAACTTGTAAAACATTACCCAACATGGGGGAGCCTGGAAGACATTATGTTGAGTGAAAGATCTCAGTCACTAAAGGACAGATAAGGCATAACACTACTGTTATGAAATAGGACAGACATGGGGAGTTGGGAAGAGAATATGAAAAGAATAGAGAGATAATGAACACTGCAATAGAACAGATGAGGGAAAGAATTGTCCAAAGGAATGTATTATTAGCATTCTACATATGACAACAATCTAGAACAAGGGTTGCATTGTAGGGTAGGCTAGGGTGGGAGGAAGAAAATGTGCAATGATGAATTATAAAAAATAAAACTCAAAGAGAAGGGGTGGGGGAAGTGGTTACAAGTGCAACAGAGAACTGACAGCAGAAGAACCAGGAGACTGGCAGGAGACAGCCAGGTGGGCTTCCTGACCTCTCAGTGAGAGAGCTGAATGGCTTCAGACTGATATTTATTGGTGGAGTGGGGTGACTCAGCACTTACTTAATAATCCTCTGAGTAAGACAGAGACCTACCTGCCTGAGAGTCAGAGAGAGGTAAGCCTAAGGAGGACAGCTCAGAAGTGTGTATGCCTATCAAAGAACTGTATCCTGAGTATTTCCTGCTCATGAATTACTACCCTGTTACTTCTAATAAACTCCATAAGTATTATGAGTTCTGTATGGCTATTGCCAACAAATTTATGAGCTCAGTAGAGAAAAATATAGGAGAGACAGCTATGTAGGAATTGGTAAATTTCCTTAGAGAGAGGAAGTATGTCTGGATGAGATGTCTTTTTTTTTTATAGACACTACTGTTTTATTGCTAATTTCTTGATTTAAAACTGTTACATATGAAAATGTTTACTAAACACTTGTCCTATCTTCTTTTTTTAAAATTTAGGTTGTTTATTTTTCATTTCAATGAACATCTACAGAGATTTTGGGATTCCATTCATTCATTATTGCACCCTTCTCCCCGCACAAACCCCTCCCCCCTCCCCCCCTTTTGCTCCTCTCCTTGAAAAGCAAAAGCAAAACTCCCTCATTGGTACACAATCCCTACCCCCAAATATAATCCACTCTGCAACCCTCATTGCATACTCCTATGATAAAAATAATGCTGGGATTTGCTGGTTTGGGATGTGAGGAGTATTTGATTTCTGGAGGTGATTTTAGAATGAGGCTCTATCCCTAACATTCAACTCTTCTCTTCCCAAATCCATGTAGGAACTCACTTTCTAGGCAAGGAATGGTTTGGGTCTGACTTAATGGTAGTGGCCTGAATTTCTCTTTCTTCTAGGCTGCATTCTTCAACAGTGCAGAGTAGAGGCCTCTTTTCCTTGAGTCTAAGAGCTGAGGGGAGCAATAGTGTCAGTATTAAACTAGCACCAACCACCACAGGAGGCTCCAGGCTGGAGTCAAACACTTCAAATAGGAAGCCTCACCCTGCCCTCCAGGGGATCTAGCTAGCCTGCCTCAGTTTCTCATCTTTTGCTTTCTTCCCACCACTTTCTGTTTCCCATCTCACACTAGATCCATTTATCTTAAAGACAACTTTTCCGACTGGAACACAAGAGCTGTCTGACCTTTCTCTCACAATGGCCCTTCTCAGAGTTCACAAACAGCCTCAGCAGCTCTCTCGGGCCTTGCTCCTCGTTCAAGGTCTCTCTTCTTCTCCCTCCTCCCCCTCATCTCTGCCGCCTTTCCCCTCCCTCCTTCTTCCTTCTCCCCTTTCCTTTCCCTCCTTCTCTGCTCCCCTCCTATCCCTTCAGCTGCCCGCGGGGCGGTTCTAGCACCATGCTCCGACTCCTGCGGTTGCTGCTGACGCTGTTGCTGCCTCCCGCTGGGTCCTCTGAATCCCCGGGGGTCCCTGAGCCCCCAGGTCTGGCCCTGCTATCCCCAGGGGCGCCTCCCCAAGCCCCAGACTTGCTCTATGCCGATGGGCTGCGTGCCTACACAGCCGGGGCATGGGCGCCCGCCGTGGCGCTGCTGCGGGAGGCGCTGCGAAGTATGGAGGCTCTGGGCCGCACCCGGCGGGACTGCGGAGAGCACTGCGCGGCTGAGCCCGGAGCTGCGCTCCCCGCCGTGCTCCTAGAAGGCCCGGAGCCCGACTCTGGGCGGGGACAGGAGCCGGCCTCCTGGGAGCGGTCGCTCCTCCGCGCTGCGCTCCGCCGAGCCGAGTGCTTGACCCAGTGCGCCGCGCGAAAGCTCGGGCCCGGGGGCACCGCGCGACTCCGCGTGGGTAGAGCGCTCCAGGACGCCTTCCGCCGCCGGGAACCCTACAACTACATGCAGAGGGCCTATTACCAGGTGCGGGGCCGCCTGGGCCGCTTCGGGTTCCGACCCCTTACCCAAGTTGCTGTCCTATTCGGAACTGACCACGAGGGGGCGGACTGCTGGCACTGGGAGCTGGGAAGAGGCTAAGGGGGCGTACGGAATCCTCCACATTAAGGTTCTAGCCAGACCGTGGCAGGGACCTCTTGCAAATGTAAAGAAGAGTCTAAGGACAGTGTGAGCAAATAGTAGATCGAAAAGAAAAAAAAAAAAGTAGTAGATCGAAGAAGCCTGAAATTGCTTTTTAATCTATGTAGAAGTGAGCACCCTTCCTAGGAAGACAGAGAAGATTGGAAAGTTTAAGTGCGACTATCTGCCTAGGGCACATAAGACCGCAAGAGAAAGGGGTGCAAGACTCAAGTGAGGGGTTCTTGAGATCGCCTTTCCTAGGGGCGGGGCAGTGGATGCCTGAATTACCGGCTACTGTCTACGTGGCTGGGGAAGGGGGGTGCGGAGGGATGCTGGTTACACACCTCACCTCAGGGTCCTAGAGGTCTGCGGGTTGTGCTGGTCCCACACGTCTCGCCCACCTACCCACTTCACTTAGCTGTAATTTCCACCTTGTCTCCCATATTGAGGCTCTGAGACCCCTTTGCCCACGCCCTACACCCATCCTCCGAAGCCATCAGGTCCCCTTTCCTTAGCTACCAGATTGTTGAGAGTTCCAGCATGATGGTTTTGGGGAACTCTGGAGGATAGAAAGAGAGGCTGTTCTGACTAGTAAATCTTCCATGAGACTCCAGGGGCTGTCCTGGAGTGGGTTTCTGGTCTGGGTAGGCTGTTGCAGAGCACTGAATCCCTCCTCTTTCTCCTTAGCTGAAGAAGTTGGACCTGGCAGCAGCAGCAGCGCATACCTTCTTCGTAGCGAATCCAACACACCTGCAGATGCGGGAGGACATGGCAAAGTACCGCCGCATGTCCGGAGTTCACCCCCAAAGCTTCCGGGACCTGGAGACGCCCCCACATTGGGTGAGAGCCTCAACACCAACCCTGAACTGCTCCCACCTTTTATCTGGCCGCATACACAGGCCTCTCTGGACAGTAGCCCTGAATAGCTTGGACCTGAGTTCTAGTCCTCAGTGACCCTTCTCTGGGGCTTAGTTTCCTTCTTCACTATGGAGTCAAAACCAACTCAGAGCAGACTCTCCCGCGGAATTTTGGAGGCTGTAAACCGTATGGGAGGAGATTGCCCATCTTTCTCTCTTGGAGCCTCTGGTAGATTCAAATCGCCAGAGAGGCACTGCCTTTAGGTTAGCAGTGCAACTCCCTGAAGGCTAAGCCACCAGCGCTACTACCTCCGATTTCCTTCCTAGACATCACTAAAGCCAGGTGTGCAAACATTCTGATTCTGGGTCCCATCCCTGCCCCCCCCCTCTAAGTTTAAGAGGGATGTGGACTCTCTGCCACAAATTATCAATACCCCACTCCTCTACTACTTTCCAAGCCTGCCTGGTACCTCTCCCCGGATCTCAAGTGACTGACCACCTTTCCACAACAGACAGCATATGATGCTGGCCTGGAGCTGCTGGGGCGCCAGGAGGCTGCACTGGCACTGCCTAGGCTGGAGGAGGCCCTGCAGGAGAGTCTGGCCCAGTTGGAGAGCTGCAGGGCTGGCTGTGAGGGGCCGGAGGTGCAGCAGGAGGAAGAAGTTCAGGAGGAAGGTACTGGGAGCCAGGGAGGCCTCTATGAGGCCATTGCAGGTAAGGGGCTGGGAGTGTGTGAAGATTTGGGGTACCAAGGGGATGGGTGCACACAGCATTGTGACTTACGTGTGCCTTCTGCAGGGCACTGGATTCGAGTCCTGCAATGCCGGCAGCACTGTGTAGGGGACATAGCTACTCGTCCTGGCCGCAGCTCCCCTGTCCCTGACTTCCTTCCCGCCCAGCTGAGGAGGCTGCAGGAGGCCCATGCTCAGGGTCAGTTGTGGAAGGGTGGACGCTGGAGGTAACTGGGATTGGAAATGGGAAAATGAAGATTTGCCTCTGATGTCACCCTGAGTCTTCTGTCTCCACTCCTTCCACTTGTCTCTGGGTCTGTAGTTTTACTGTCAGGCTTGCAACACTTCATGAGGACTCTCCTTGCTTTCCTTCCCTGGCACCATTGTGAGACGTTCGGGAAATGGTTATAGCACTCCTTCTGCCCTCGCGGCTTCCCACCTTCCTTTATTTTCTCCTCTTCTTCCTCTTTGAATTCTACCCAGCTCAGGTATGTTTGACTAAGTTTTTGCAAAAACCATGTCTGCCAGGCGGGAAGGAGACTCTTAGATTTGATTGGCATTGGGAGACCATCTTCTGCAGCTCTGCTTCTGTCCGCCTGTCTCTGCTTCTGCCCGAGGACCACTGCTATTCTTCTTACTCTGTCCTGTTACTCTGCCACCAGTGGGGAATCTGTCCCAGGCTGTGGAAAATGCCCTGAGCATCCTGCTCTTCTACCCAGAGGATGAGGCCGCCAAGAAGTCTCTGAACCAGTACCAGGCTCAGCTAGGGGAGTCAAGACCTGGCCTTGGGCCAAGAGAGGTAACTCTCAGTCCAGTTCATACCTAAGAAGCAACCCTAAATGAACCAAATATATGTGAAAAATCAGCTGGGTCTGGACCCACTCCCCATTCTGATCTGTCTTGTTACTTGGTGTTGCTATAACACAAATATCATAAATAGGTGGCTTTTTTAAAAATTCAAAACAGATTTATTCTTTTTTCTGGAAGTCCACACTCTTTGCCAGTACCATAATTCAACAGCATCACTTCTTTCTCATCCTTCCTTATTTACTGTTTAGCTTTCGTACACAAATGAAATAACAGACAATACCATGACTTGAGTTACCCAAACCTTAGTCTTTAAACTGACATTCTTGCTCTTTCACAATTTAAAGTTGTTTTTTATTTTTAGTTTCTCAGGTTACTTTAATACTATGCTGATGATTATACAATAATTTATAAGGAAAGACACATTTAAGTGGAAACATTAACAAGAGCAATTAGTAACACTGTGGCAGTGCTAACATTAAATTCTTTTTTTAAAATAAAATTATTTTTATCTTAATGAACATTTACAGAGGAGTTAGATTTTTTTCCCTCATATATTTTTCTTTTTTAAAAATTTATTAAGATTTTAATGAAAGTTTATAGAGAACTTGGATTTCCATTCATTCATTGTTGCGCATTTTCCTCCCTGCCCAGCCTCCCAGTTCACGTTTTTCTTTGGAAAAAAATTCTTTCATTGTTATACACTCCCTCTCCCAGTCCACTTTACTATGCATCTCTTATTCTGGAATCTTATCATGACAATAATACCTAATAATATATTCCTTTTATATAGTCATCTCCCTCATCTGTTTCAATGCTGTATACATTATTTATCCCCTCTTTTCTTAGTTTCCTCCCACCCCCACGTCAGTCCTGTTTTATAATAGTGGCACTGTGCAGTATTTGTCTTTTTTTTTTGCATTTGTTTATTTTTATTTTTTTTATTTTATTATTTTTGTCTGCGTGTACCGTCAAATCAGATCTGACTGGTACAGGAGATTGTCCCTCCTTCCCCGGCAGAGCATCTGGTGGATTCAAACCGTGAGCCTCTGGGATTGCAGTTGCAGCTCCTTGCCACTAGGCCACTAGAGCTCCCCAGTATTTGTCTTTTTATAATGGAGATATTTCACTCAGCATAATGTCCTCCACGGTCACCCATTTTGTATAATATTTAATGAGTTCCTTGTTTTTCAATGCTGCATAGTATTCCATTGTGTGAATATACCACAGCTTCTCTATCCATTTCTTTGTTGGTAAGCACTTAGGTTGTTTCCCTCTCTTTGCTACTATGAACAACACAGCAATAAACATGTGTGTGCAAAATGGGTAGCTTTTAAGAACATAAATACTTTGTCATGGTTCTAGGGGCTAAAAGTCCAAATAAAAGTCTTGGCCATGTTAATTTCTTCATTGTTAGTCACACCATTCCTTCATTCCTTGATTTGTGAAAGATCCTCACATATCAAAACAACTATGAGATATCATCTCACCCCAGTCAGAATAGCAAAATTTAACAGAACAGCAAGCAACAAATGCTGGCGAGGTTGTGGAGAAACTGGAACCCTTATTCACTGTTGGCGGCAGTGTAAAATGGTGCAACTACTGTGGAAAGCGGTATGGCGCGTTCTCAAAAAGTTGCAAACAGAGATACCATTTGACCCAGCAATTCCACTACTGGGAATATATCCCAAAGAGACCATAACTGACATCCAAGCAGATATATGCACACCCATGTTTATCGCAGCTCTGTTCACAATAGCAAGGAATTGGAAACAACCCAGGTGCCCATCAACAAATGAATGGATAGAGAAGCTGTGGTATATTCACACAATGGAATACTACGCTGCATTGAAAAACAAGGAACTCATGCAATATTGTTCAAAATGGGTGAGCCTGGAGGACATTATGCTGAGTGAAATATCTCAGTCGCAAAAGGACAAATATTGCATGGTGCCACTGTTGTAAAATAGGACTGATATCAGGGTTGGGGTAAGACTGAGAAAAACTGGATAAATTGTGTATACTGCACTGAAACAGATGAGGGAGTGAATAATTTAAAAGCGATGTATGATAGGGTATTATGGTTATCACAAGAGTCCACAATTAAGGTTGCATAGTGGAATGTACTTGGGGTGGTGGGAGGGGTATGGGGGGGATTCTGTACCAGGGAAGGAGTGTTTCTTTTAATTTTGAAAGAGAGGAGTGAACGGGGCGGGGGGGGAGGGCTGGGCGGGGAGAGAAGTGCAGCAATGAATGAATGGAAATCCAAAATATCTGTAAATGCTCATTAAAATTATTTAAAAAAAAAGATCCTCATGTAGAGATTGTCTTCCCCCATGCATTCATGCCCTCTGTGTATAACCGTTCTTTTTATAATTCAGAAATGCTTACCTGTAGGATACATCTTTGCACTGGCATAATCTCAAATGTTTTAATGGTGTTACATTGTGGAAAATGATTAGATTATGTTAGGTAGGTGATGACATTTCATTACATTAGACATAATTATATTACATCAATAGTTTTAGGAGTTAGGAGTCCAATATGTATTTTGAGGGGATACAATTTTATTTATAACATGATTTCTTACTCAAGCACTCTAGTCCCCAACTCCACATCCAATATCTGACTTCTGTCTCAACTCCCCTCTAAATCCAACCTTCAACCCTATTCTTCTTCCTATAACCTCACTCTTGCTTGTCTCACCTTCTGCTCCTATACACACACACACACATACACACAGGCACACATGTTGAGCCGGTACTCTGAAGCTGCCAAGGAGGGAAGTTGAACCAAGAGAAGTAGTACAGAGTTCAGTGGCAAGCAGTCCTCTAGCACTTGGGGCTTCTCCTTTAACCTTAAGCATTGGCCCCACTTCTTGTCTTATATCTTCTTCCTACTATCCAATTCTTTCTGCCTAGGACATCCAGCATTTCATCCTTCGATCCTTGGCAGAGAAGAAACAGCTGTACTATGCCATGGAATATCTAGGGACCAGCTTCAAGGATCCTGTGAGTAAATCTTCCTTTTTCTCCATCACACCCTTCTCACCCCATAGTGCTCCCAAGGACAATGGGAGTGCTTTACATTTATGCCCCTTCAGTTTGCCACAAAGCTGCACTTCATCGGGCTCTCGATAATCTTGTGGAGGGGAGTTTGTTGTCTCTATTTCACAGGGATGGAAAACTGTTTGCCTGTAGTTTAGGGAGTTTTGGGAGTCATTCAGGCATGAATTCAGACCATACTCTGCCACTAATATGTTGTAAACTTTAACTTGCCCTGGCTTCTATTTCCTTACTTGTAAAATTATAATACTCACATATATCTCACAAGTCTGTTGAAATCCTGGTGGCCAATTGGTGACTCAAGCTTACCAGTGATTCCATGGGAGAAATATCCGGTGTACAGATTATAGCCTAGGAAACCCAGTGGGTCACTTCTGCTTGGTTACGTGGAGCCACCATGAGTCAGAATTAACTTGATGGCACCTAACAATAACATGGAAGACTCTGTGGGGACTGCTTTTCTTACTGTTCTTGTTATGACAGCAAACTGAAAGTTTGCAGAGGTTATCCATAGCGAGTTTTCTGTAGCACAGAGCAAAATTTCTTAACCTCAAGACTTTTGACCTTTTGAGCTAGTTTAACTTGCACTAGCCAAGAATGTAGACTCTGAAACTAGTTGAAATCTCCACTCTGTCACTTACTAGCTATTTGACCTTAGTCTTATTCCTTTATCTCTGTGTGTCTCAGAGTCCTTGATTTTAAAATGGGTACCTTAGATGGACAGTCTCCTTCCGTGAGATGAACTGCCTCTAAAAACCTACTGGAGGGTCGGCTAGAAGGTGGTTCTGACTCTACAGTACTTAACAAGAACAACATTTCATAAGATGGTTAAGTGAAAAATTGTTGTTCACTAAACTTTTGTGGCAGTCTTTAAGAAGAGTCAAAGAATGTGCATATATATATATATAGCATGTATATTGTATGCACACTAACATAGTTTAATAAGTGACATATTTAATCAAGATTTCTTAAATGAAAAATCCACTACTATGTAAAAGATCTTAGACTAGCACTGGCAAATAATAAGTGTTATGTGAGTTTTTGCTGTGAGTGTTATTAGAGAGCCCAGAACCCTGGTTCCTGATAGTGTGTGTGGACCTTCCCCCACCTCTGACTTTCTCTCTGGATGCAGGAGAATCTCAATGTGATAGTTCAGAGTCTAATGTCAGGGAGTCCAGGGCCAGAATTGGTGGGTGATGTAGTTTTCCTCATCTGTTGCAGGATGCCTGGACCCCAGCAGCTTTCATCCCTGAGGCACTCAGAGAAAAGGTCAGGTAGGACACACCCTATAGTGCAAGGGCATCTGGCCTGAGCCGGAGGTGGGTGGAAGGAGTGGTAGGAAGCTGACTTTGGGGTGTATGGGTTTATAATGTCTTGGGCATCCACTAAGCTTGTCTCTCACCCCTGAGAGAGGATCAGGAGAAGAGGCCCTGGGACCGTGAACCTCCACAGACAAAGCCTTTGACCCACTGGAAGGGTGAGTTTCTTTCTGGAATGGCAAGATCTGAGGGATTTGATGGTCTGAAGCTGCCAGGTACTACTGGGCCTGCCATTAAGGGATGCCTAGCCACCTCCACGCTGTCCTTTTCAGATGTCCTTCTCCTGGAGGGAGTGACCCTGACTCAGGATGCAAGACAGCTGAATGGCTCAGAGCGAGCAGTACTGGATGGCTTGCTCACCCCAGCTGAGTGTGGGGTACTGCTGCAGCTGGCCAAGGTAAGAAGATTGGTGCGTTGGTAGACAGTAGGCTGTAGAAACCTTTGGGCATAACTGCATGCTCCCCAGCTCTTGACCTGTGCACTCTCCCGGTTCTGCTCCACCCTGATATTACGGACATGGTCTCAGTTTTCCAATTGGACACAAATGATCTGTGTCCTTATTCTAGTAAAGGATTACTTAGAATAGGTGAATAAATGAGCAAACTTTATTTTCACTTGTACAGGTAAAAAGGAGATGGAGGCTAGTGCCTTGAAAAATACCATCTCAAGGAAGTGATGTTTTGAGAGAGTATTTCGAAGTTTAGGTTAAGGTTATGAAGAAAGGATGACATTTAGCACTTTCAGGAGGGCAAGACAGGATTGTATTAGAAAAGGAGGCTCATACAAATCAGGGGGTATGCCACAAACTGACATCTCAGGGACAGAGAGTACTGGACAGAATTGCCGGACAGGTAGCAGCTGGCAACAAGAAACATTAGAACAAAGAATGCTGGGTTAGTAAGTTGCCTAGTTCATAAAAGACAGAAAAACCAAACAAGCAACAAATCAAGAGGCATGCAGCTGGCCCTCCTTGACTGTACCTGTTTAGGTGCTTTGTCGTCGTGGGACATGCACTGTGGAATTCCTCTTCCTGGCTGCTTTCTCTGGAAAAATCATATGGTGGTCACTCTTTTTGCTTCTACACATGCATGACACACATGAAAACTCTTTCAGATAACTTAAAAACAGGACTTGTTAGTAAAGTTAAAGATTGTTGGGAAGGAGCACCTAGGGCTGCTTGTACTAGCTGAATTCTAGTGGCCTACTAAGCAAATAAGGAGCTCTGGTGGTTGTGTGGCAAGAAGCTGAGCTGCAATCACGAAGGCATGCAATTCGAATCAACCAGCTGCTCTACGAGAGAAATATGGCTAATCTCCTTCTGTGCAAATAACTGCCTCTGAAAACCAACTGGTGGTTCAGCTGTGGGTCACTTCCAACTCAACGGTACACAACAACAACAGTGAGCAAATAATTTGAGACCCTGAACTATATGAAGAAGAATGTGCTGTCAGGATTGGAGAAGGATTCATCAGCAACCCACATGTGTGAAACAGATGACACAAACTTGCTTGCAGAAAATGAAGAAACTTGCTGTAGAAGACCAGAAACTAGAGCCTTCAGTGACTGTAGCAATGGGCTTGCGGTTCTGGTCTGTTTTTCATAAGGTTGTAGTTTACTCAACTGCTTGCATTAGCTGAATGCTGGTATTATTGATCTGAATTGTCTCAGGGAAAATACTTTGATTTGACACATCATGTAACGAGCAAACAAAATGAAACAGGAACAAAGTAAACTTAGTAATTTGGTTAAAGTTTTCTTTCCTATTTACTGAAGAGGTAGTCTTTTTTTTTCCTTTCTTTTTTAATACTGGTTTACATACAAAGTTCATAAAGTTTGTATATACATTGTTTTTCTCACTGGATCTTTCCCCTTTCCTGAAAACATAATCTTTGATATAAAGTCAGAGGTCTTATTATGTTAACAGAAAAGAAGTCACTCTCAACTATAAAGTGCAGAAAGAAGCAACTGCAACTAACAAAGGACTTCAACTTATAAAGAGGTCTTCCTCAAAGTTGTCCCTTTAAGCTGAGAGGAAGGAGGGCTTCAACCTGATAAGGAAGTCTCTTTCAACTGTCCTTCCAGACTAAAAAGGACATTTTTCCCTTTTCAAATATTACTGAAGAAATATCAGTTTCCTATTGTTTTTTGGCCTGTTGCATTAATCCAAACAGAAGCACCAAAAATGGCAAGTCCTAGAACATTTTCCATTTCCAGGAGGTGGCATTTGCACGCCATCTTGAGGATGAGTTAGCCAGAAAGAGAAGGGAAGAAAGTCAGCCTAAGGAGATCATGATGCATTCTGGGAACAGCAATAAATAGAATATAAGGATTTGGAGCATAAGCAGTCCCAACAATTATTAACTGTATAACCTTGGTCGATTTTCAAGGTCTCTGAGTCTAGTTTCCTCATCTGTAAAATAGAGCTAATAATAGTGGGGGGATTTTGCCATGGCTATTGTGAAGATTAAATGAATTAGCACAGGTAAAGCTCCTAAAGAAAACATAGTGTATAATTAGTGTTAGCTGTTCTCTTATCATCATTTTACAGTATAGGGGATGAAGGAAGAGACAGGGGAAGGATGGTGAAGGACGTTCTGTAAACACCAGGAGTTGGGCTTTATTTATAGATGGTGAGCAGTTACTGAGGGATTTAATGGAGATTTGACTTCTGTGGTCCCACATTGGGTAGATCCCTCTAGTGGCAGCCTGTAGAGTGCAACGGAAAAGGTAAGAAAGTGGAGGCCACTGATGAGGAAAGAGTGTCACTGCCTCAGAGGCAGTTAGTTGCTCATTTCAAGAAAACAGAAGTGGATAGGTGAGCTATATTTGGAAGCTCAAACATAGAGAAATTAAGGACTAGACTTCTATGCAAGATAAGAAGATGGAATCAAATATAAACTGCCAAGGATTGGACTTTTTAATCTCTTAGCAAAATACTCATTGGAGATCCTTTTTTGGTTCATAAGCATGATGATTGGATGTTCATGCTTTTGTATGACAAGTACCTTCCTTAAACCTTCTTATGACATCAGCACGTTACCCATTTTTTTTTTTCACATTACCCATTTGACATGGGAAAAAACCCCAGTGAAAACCAGCTCACTAGAACCAAGTTCTAGCCAACCCTCTAGTGTGTTTCCAAGGCTTTAAACTGCATGGAGAGGAGACTGTCCATCTTTCTCCAGTAGGTGGACCTGCTGGTGGATTTGAACCAGCAGAGATTCAGCCTTTGGATTAGCAGCACAACTTTCTATGGACTATGCCACCAGAGATCCCAATTTCATGATTGTTGAGGTTGCTGTTATCATGTACCATCAAATCAACTAAAACTTATAGCGACCTTATGAACAACAGAGCATACAGAACTTTGCCATGTTTTGAATGGGCTCCCCAAAGAGAAAACAAATCTGGCTTAGATAAAGTGCAATCAGGGTGCTCCTTAGAGACAAGGATGGGGAAACATCATTCCACATACTCTGGGCATGTTGTCAAGAAGGACTAGTCCTTGGACAAAGACATCATGTTGAGAGAATGTCATTGAAAGTGAGGAAAATCCTCTATGATATGGATTGGCACAGCATATTGGAGATCATGAGATGTCTTGATTACCTGAACTTATTCTGGCCTCAGTGCCTTTGCTATAATTCTTTTTTTTTTCTATAATTATATTTTATTAATTTTCATAA